CAAGCTGAGGCTATCTAACCTTCCCTCAAAATACAACACACCCTTTCCAGACATTATCTGAAACTCTCTGAACTTTTCCCAATGCACTTACATCCTTCTTTAAATAATCAGACCAATATCGGGGCGGCATGGTGGCTCAGGGGTTAGCACTGCTGTCTCACGGCACCAGGGACCCGAGTTCAGTTCCATCCTTGGGCGACTGTCTGCGTGGAGTTTGCACATTCTTCCCCCTGTACCTGTGTGGGTTTCCTCCGAGTGCTCTGTTTTCCTCCCACAGTCTAAAGATGTGCAGGTAAGGTGGATTGGCCATGCTAAATTTCCCCATAGTGCCCAGGAATGTGCAGGCTAGGTGGGTTAGCTATGGGAAATGCAGGGTTACAGGGATACGGTAGGGGGTGGGTCTGGGTGAGATGCTCTTCAGAGGGTCGGTGCAGACCCTATCGGCTGAATGGCCTGTACCCACAATGTAGGGATCCTATGAATATTGTACATGGTACTCCAAATGTGGTCTCAATAGTGCTCAACATTATCTCTCTACTTTTCCATTCAACCCCCTTGCGATAAATGATATAAGGGTCTGTTAACTTTCTGGATTGCTTGCTATGCCTCTGTACCAACTTCTTGCAATTCATACACGAGGACGCCTTGATCTCTCTACGTCCCATAGCTCTGCAATCCATCAAGTTGCTTTATTTTTTTAAATTTCTCATGAAAACTGACAATTTCACATCTCCCCACATCATCCTCAATATACCAAATCTTCGCCCACTCATCTAACCGATCCATTTTGTAGTGTCCTTATCTCTCCGTCAAACTTACTTTCTGACCGGTCTTCGTGTCATGAGCAAATTTGGTGACCGTACCTTTGGTCCAGTCATCCAAGTCACTTGTACAAAATGTAAAGAGTTGATTATTTAAATTATACATATAAACATCCTCCTGATTCTCCAGAAGTGACCAGTGCATGTGCATAAACAGATCCACGCTCACATCTCCCAGTTTCAGGGCACAGACCTGAACATTTTCATGCAGGCTGCCAGTATACTCACAAGCAAGGGGATGGAAGGCCGTAAGACATAGGAGCAGAGTTAGGCTGTTCAGCTCATCGAGTCTGCTCCACCATTCAGAGATCAGGACTGATCTGATAACCCTCAGCTCCACTCTGAGGAATAACTTCATTTGGGGAAGCAAGTGGTCATAGCCTTGAAACTGCTGAAGGAAGTGGAAATTTCAAAATGACACTGGATGGGTACTTGAAAGAAATACTGGGATTTAGAGAGGGAATGGAACTGACTGTATTGCTTACATAGAGTGAGCACTGACGTAGAGTCACAGACCTGAACAAACACATGAAGAGGAAGGGAACAGTGGAATACAGATCCTGTAAATGAAGACAGTTTTAGGATGGAAGGGCAAAATGTGCCAGCCCAGGCATGGAGGGCCGAAGGGCTTATTCCTGTGCTGTATTGTTCTTTGTCCTAGAGGTACACAATACAGAAACAGACCCTTTGGCCCAACTCGTCCATGCTGATCAGGTTTCCTAACTGAACCAGTCCATCTGCCTGTGTTTGGCCCATATCCCGTTAAACCTTTCCTATCTATATACTTGTCCAAATGTCTTTTAAATATTGTAATCGTACCCACCTCTGCCATCTTATTCCGTACACACACCACCCGGTGTAAAAAAAAAGTTGCCCCTCAGGTCCCTTGTAAATCTTTCCCCTCTCACCTTAAGTTTTGGACTCCCCTACCCTGGGGAAAAGATCCTGGCTATTCACCCTATCCATGCCCCTCTTGATTTATAAACATCTATCCTCTCAGCTTCTTACACTCCACGGAAAAAAGTCCCAGTCTCTCCAGCCTCTCCTTATAACTCAAACCTTCCAGTCTTGGTAACATCCTTGTAAATCTTTTTTGCACCCTTTCCAGTTTAATAACATCCTTCCTATAGCAGGGAGATCTGAATTGTACGCAGTAGTCCAAATGTGGCCTGACCAATGTCTTGCTGTAACATGACATCCCAACTCCTGTACTCAGTGCTCTGACCGACGAAGGAAGCGTGCTAAATGCCTTCTTCACCACCCTGTCTACCTGTGACACCACTTTCAAGGAAGTATGTACCTGCACCCCAGAGCCCTACCATTAACTGTGAAAGTCCTAACCTGGTTTGTCCTCCAAAATGCAACACCTCACATTTATCTAAATTAAACTCCATCTGCTATTCCTCCCCATGGGCCCAGTTGATCAAGATCCCTTAATCTTAGATAACGTTCTTCACTGTCCACTATACCACCAATTTTGGCGTCATCCACAAACTTACTAACTATACCTCCTATATTCTATCCAAATTGTTTATATAAATAACAAACAACATTGGACCCAGCACCCATCCTTGCAGTCCACCACTGGTCATAGGCCTCCTGTCCAAGATTCAACTCTCTACCACCACCATCTGTCTCTTACCGTCAAGACAATTTTGTATCCAATTAGCTAGCCCTCCCTTGAACCCTTGTGATCGCACCTTACTAACCAGTCTACCATGTGGAACCTTGTCGAAGTCTTGCTAAAGTTCATGTAAACAATGTCTACCACTCTGCCTTCATTTATCTTCTTGAGCACCTCTTCAAAAAACTCAATCAAATTTGTGAGACACGCTTTCCCATGCAAACAGCCATGCTGACTGCCTCCAATCAGCCCTTGCCTTTCCAAATGCAAATAGATCCTCTCAGAATCCTTTCCAACAACTTACCCACCACTGACATTAGGGTCATCAGTCTGTAGATCACCGGCTTTTCCTTGCAGCCTTTAATAAATAATGGCACACCATCAGCCACCCTCCAGTCTTCCGCACCTCACCCAGACATGATTTGCTAAAAGGATTCTTCCTGGGTAGTAAAGACAGAAAATATATAACATAGCTACAGTACTACAATACAAGACTGGAAATAATAAAATGTACTTCAGCAGAGAATCATAAGTAATAAATCAATTATGTACCATAATGACAAAACTTGACATCTAGAGTCAGAATCATACAGCACGGGAACAGACCCTTGGTCCAACTAGTCCAAGGTGAACATAATCCCAAACCAGACTAGTCCCACCTGCCTGCTCCTCGTCCATATCCTTCCAAACCTTCCCTATTTGTGTATTTATCCAAATGTCTTTTAAACGATGGAACTGTGCCCGCATCCACCAGTTCCTCTGCCCTGTGTTAAATTTACAGTTCCTCAAATGCAGGCTGTTTCCTGGAGAACTCACTCCTTTCATCATAAACATTAAGAATGAAAATGGATGGGCACTTGAAGAAAAGAGATTTGCAAGGAGTGAGGCATACAGAGGAATTTGGGACTTAACAGTTTACTCCACAGTGAGTCAGCATGAAATTCAGTTACCAAATGGA